TCCCTGAAGGAGTGAATAATTTTTTTAAAAAATGTGATACATCCATACCATAGAATACTACTCAGAAATGAAAAAAATGAACTACTGATATACACAACTTGGATGAATCTCAAGAGCATAATGCTGAGTGTAAAGAGCCAATATCAAAAGGTTTCATATTATATGATTCCATTTATAAAACATTCTTGCAGTGACAGAATTACAGAGGTAAGGAAACAGATTAGCGATTACAAAAAGTTAGAGATGGTGAGTTGGGGAAGGGGGAGGTATGACTATTAAGAAAGAATTTTGTAAAACTGATGAACAAAAATAGAATCAGAGTCACAGAAGTATCTAACAGACTGTCCAACCTATGAGGGAAGTAAGGGGGCGAGGGGGTAAGAGATCAACTAAAGGACTTGTATGCATGCATATGAGCATAACCAATGGACACAGATAGTAGGGAAATGAGGGCATGTGCTGGGGGGTGGGGGCGACCTGGGAGAGGTCAATGGGGGGAAAAGGAGACTTATGTAATACTTTAAACAATAAAGAATTAAAAAAATAATTTTGTGGTAGTGAAAAAATTCTGCATCTTTATTACTACTGGTGATTATAGGATATACACACGTGATAATATGATATAGAATTATTCACAGAGTGTGTACCAATGTCAGTTTCCTTTTTTGATATCCTATATAATAAAAGGCTAATATGCAAATCGACTGAATGATAGAACTACCGGTCGCTATGATACGCATTGACCACCAGGGGGCAGACACTCAATGCAGAACCTGCCCCCTGGTGGTCAGTTCACTTCCAGAGGGGGAGCACCACTCAGCCAGAAGTTGGGCTCACAGCTGGTGAGCGCAGCGGCAGTGACGGGAGCCTCTCCCACCTCCAAGGCAGTCGGACATCCCCTGAGGTGTCCTGGACTGTGAGAGGGCACAGGCTGGGCTGAGGGACCCTCCACTTCAGTGCACGAATGTCATGCACTGGGCCTCTAGCTGTACTATAATTATGTAAGATGTAACCATTGGGGGGAACTGGGTAAAGGTTATAAGGAGACTCTCTGTATTTTCTGTGGATCTATAATAATCTCCAAATAAAAGGTTTAACAACACATAATGCATCCTTGAAAGTATAACTTAGACTTAGAGCATGAGATTTCTTAGAACTCAAGTCAAAATAAATACATCGTTCATTAATTAAAAATTAATGGCCTAGTATATAAGTGTTCATAGCAGCTTTATTTGTAATAACCCCAAACTGGAAACAACCCCAATGTCTAAAAAACGAATGAATTATTGGTACATGTAGTATGGATGTATCCGAACATAGTAATGCTGAGTGAAAGTAGTCAGACAAAAGAGTACATAATGTATGACTTCATTTATAAAAAATTCTAGAAAATATAAATGAATCAATAGTGACAGAAATCAGATCAATCATTGTCTGGGGGTGCTGTTTGTGGAGACAGGTGAGAAGAAGGAATTATATGGAGCAAGAATGAACTTTTGGGGATGATGAATTTGTTTACTATCTTGATTGTGGTGATGGTTTCATATACACTGAGTGGCCAGATTATTATGACCACCTGACGTTTGTAGGCAAATTAGGTATAATTTTGCGCTGAAGTTGCTAGAGGGCCAGACCATTATAAATAGGAAAGCATGTTGTTTACTACGACAGTAGAAGTGATTTTTTTCTGAAGATATGGGTAAACAATGCAATTTAACAGCCTTTGAACGTGGGATATATATTATTATGAGTGGCCAGATTATTATGACCACCTGATGTTTGTAGGCAAATTAGCCATACACTGCATCATATGGGATATGGAAGATGAAGGCCTGTTTGAACACCTTTGCTGTCTGCAGTTACTAAAATAAAATGCCTCCAATTCTCACAGGAACATAACGATTGGACAGTCAAGCATTGGAAAAAAGTCATGTGGTCCAATGAATTACATTTCCAGTTGCATCATGCAGATGGCAGAGTGAGAATTTGGCAGAAACAGCATGAAAGCATGCACCCCACATGCATGAGTACAACCCTTCAAGCTGGTGGGAGCAGTGTTATGGTTTGGGGCATGTTTTCCTGGCATGATTTGGGCCTTTTAATTTGTGTGGAACAACATCTGAATAGCACAACATACCTAAGTATCATTGCTGATCAAATTCATCCTATCATGTTGATGTTGTATCCCAATGGAGATGGCTTCTTCCAACAAGACAATGCGCCATGCCACGGTGCTCGTATTGTGCAGGAGTGGTTTCAAGAATATGAGGGAGACTTTACCTTGCTTAGGTGGCTCCCACAATCACCAGATCTCAATCCAATTGAGCATTGTGCGACAAAGTTAAAAGAGCCATCAGGCAGCTGGTTCCACAACCATCAAATCTCACAGAACTGGACAGTGCTACTCATCAGTCATGGTGTCAGATTCCTCGAATCACCTTTCAACATCTCGTGGAGTCAATGCCAAAAAGAATCACCTCAGTATTGAAGGCAAAAGGTGGCCCAACGAAGTACTGATTGGGTAGTCATAATAATATGGCCACTCACGTTCAAATATATCCTATGTTCAAAGGCTGTTAAATCACGTTGTTTACCTATGTCTTCAGAAAATAATCACTTCTACTGTCATGGTAAACAACCTGCTTCTCTATTTATAATGGTCTGGCCCTCTAGCAACTTCAGCGTGAAATTATAGCTAATTTGCCTACAAACGTCAGAAGGTCATAATAATCTGGCAACTCAGTGCATATCAAATATAATAAAGAACTAATATACTAATTAGACTGAACAGCAGAACAACCATCCAGACAACCTTCTGGACGACCGTCTGGATGACCTTCCAGATGAAGCCAGGGCTGCGAAGGCCGAGGGTCCCGCAGCTGCAAAGGCCGAGCCACTTGCATGAATTTCATGCATTGGGCCTCTAGTATATATATTTACCAAATTGTATACATGAAATATGCATGGTTAATGGTGTATATATATGTATATATATAAAAGCTCAGCAACTTTTATGGTGGAACAACCAGATGACCAGACTAGCCGGTTGCTATGACACACACTGACCACCAGGGGGGCAGATGCTCAATGCAGGAGCTGCACCCTGGTGGTCAGTGCACTCCCACAGCAGGAGTGCCGCTCATCCAGAAGCTGGGCTCATGGCTGGCGAGCACAGCAGCAGTGGTGGAAGCCTCTCCCACCTCCGTGGCAACACTAAGGAGTGGCGAGCCAAGCGGTAAGGAGTGAGCAGGCAGGTGGTAAGGAGTGAGCAGGCAGGCAGTAAGGAGTAGTGAGCCAAGCAGTAAGGAGCAAGCAGGCAGGTGGTAAGGAGTGAGCAGGCAGGCAGTAAGGAGTAGTGAGCCAAGCAGTAAGGAGCAAGCAGGCAGGTGGTAAGGAGTGAGCAGGCAGGCAGTAAGGAGCAGCGAGCCAAATGGTAAGGAGCGAGCAGGCGGGTGGTTATGAGCGAGCAGGCAGGCAGTAAGGAGTGAGCAAGCAGGTGGTTAGGAGCAAACAGGCAGGCGATTAGGAGTGAGGGGTCCTGGATTGTGAGAGGGCACAGACCAGGCTGAGGGAATTTTGTGCATTGGGCCTTTAGTGTCAATTATAATTCAACTAGAGGCCTGGTGCATGAATTCATGCATGGGTGGGGTCCCGAAGGGGGTAGGGGAGGGTTGGGACACAACTGGCCCTCCAGACAGGTCATGGGACACCCTTGCTGGCCCAGGATCCTGATCTGTCCCACTGACATTAGCGCTGCTTGTCAGGAACCACCTGGTGGCCACTTTTATATTGGTTTTTCCTTGTGGAGCATCTAGGGAGGGGAAGCAGCTGCAGTGCCTGAGACTGACTTCAAGAGCCCATCAGTGCTGTCAAGACCATGCCGGCAGAGCCGGTCCTTCAGTGCCTGTCCCGTTCTTCGAAGATTGGACCTGCAGGACTGCTAAGGGAGTGAGTGGCTGGCACCGGGCTGGTGGGCCACTGAGACGGGTAGTTCAGCTGAGTGGTGCTCCCACTGTGGGGGCAGCTACTGCATTGAACGTCTTACGCCTGGTGGTTTGTGTGCATCATAGTGACCAGTTATTCAGGTCGTTCTGGTCGTTCGGTTGTTTGGTCGCTTAGGCTTTTGTATATATAGATAAGGTTTAAAAACTCAGTAGCTTACACAAATCCGTAATAACCATGGAAAAGAACATTCCATTTACAATAGCAACAGAACAATACTTAGGAACAACCTTGAGCTCTTAGACCTTGAGCTCTTTTACCTCTGGGTTCCTCTCTATCTATCGAGATAAAAGCCCCTATCCTTAAAACTTCAGCCATAACATTTTACTTCTGTGATAAAATTTCATGTCCCTCTAACACATCTGACATCAATTGTTTAGTATCAAGTGTTATTTTCATGGCACACAGGAATGCATCTTTATATAATGGCTACCTCCTGCAATACAATTTAGAAGTTCAAAGCAGTTCTATAGAATTTATACCGCTGCCTTGTGCTTTCCCATCCTTGCTCTCCTTGAATAGCCTGTGGACTAGTGTAAAGAGAGGTGAAGAGGACTGTTCTCACAGAGTGGGGAGAGGAGTTCAGGTAAGTATTTTCTTTGGTAGGAGAAGTAAACCATTTTAAATTAGTGTCAGTATCTATTAGCTTCCTCCACACTGTCTCTTTGATTAGACAGAGTAAGGGGATGATGTCAACTATAACTTTCCCTGAATGAAGCTTCCTATGAAACAAACACTTGCTTCCCCTTGCTAAGAGGACAAATGTCAGTTCAGCAGAGTCCTATGGAAAGGAGACCTGCACAGATAGGCCAACATACAGGGATGTGAATCTAGCCCTCAATCCATACAGTAGTTTGTTAGATGCCACTTTCAGAGTTCTTCAGAAGGGTAACTTTTAATTGCTAGCAATGCATACCGTTTGGGAATGCAGATTTCAAACATATATCACAAAGGTAGGCAAATCTGTGAAAAAAAATTTTAAATGACAACATACTTACAGTTTTTTCATTATTTTCAAAAGCTTCTCTTGCTTCTTCAAATGTGCAGAATTCTTCTTTGCATTCACGCTCAATATTTCCCTGTCTTATTTCTTCAAAAAGTCCATTAGCTCTTGGGTAGCGTTTTAGTACCGTATTTGCTTTTCCTCCCGTGAGGAAAACTAAAAAGAGATACAATAATAAGCATACACTTTTAATAAAAAATGTGTAAAGTTAATATACAAGATGAAAACTGCTAGATACTCTTTAGAATACAGAGTCAACATCCTAAACCTCTTTCTGTGTGAGTCAGGAATGAAGTAGCATTTAGCTCCAAACCATCACATCTGCCATCTTCCTCATCAAGTTAGTATGTCCTTTCAGTAACAGGTGGTCTGGGCAGGGACAGTGATATAGTTTACTATGTTATATTCAGACTTTAGCACGTTCTTGCCAACCATGGGTGTTTAAATATAGTAACAATGATACCACCATTTATACCTATTATTATAAGTTGATACTCTCAGGTACTGTTCTGTTGGATAGCAGCAAGCAAACCAAAATCCAGTCTCTAGATCATCGATTCTCAACCTTCCTAATGCCGCGACCCTTCAGTACAGTTCCTCATGTTGTGGTGACCCGCAATCATAAAATTATTTTCGTTGCTAATTCATAACTGTAATTTTGCTACTGTTATGAATCGTAATGTAAATATCTGATATGCAGGATATATTTTCATTGTTACAAATTGAACATAATTAGAGCATAGTGATTAATCACAAAACAATATGTAATTATATATGTGTTTTCTGATGGTCTTAGGCGACCCCTGTGAAAGGGTAGTTCGACCCCCAAAGCGGTCGTGACCCACAGGTTGAGAACCGCTGCTCTAGATAATCAGTCTTTGTCCCTTAACTAAAAAACACAAATAAAACTCCAACTGACCTAATCATATGAACAAAGAGGAGATTTACTTGTATGAAAAAGAAGAGGTGACAAAACAACATCAAGAAATTAAGATAAATTTAGCCATAATTCATTCCAAGGAACACTAATAATAATTTTGCTCTAAATTCACTTAAGTTAAATATATTGAGACAATATATTCAACCCCATTTTACTGTCCTTCAGAAAAAGAAAATACTGCATGACTCAGAGGCATTTTATATAAACATTCAAAATGCACATTTATGATATCCAATAAAATAAAGGCAGGAGATACACAGTTATGGGGAATTATTTTTATTTTTACATACTGATTCATTTTATTTATTTTATTTTTTAACAAGTTAACAGTTTTTGGTTGCTTGTTTGTTTTTAGCACATTTCTATTGATTTCAGAGAGGAAGGGAGATGGAGAAGGAGAGAAAGAAACATCAATGATGAGAGAGAATTATCAATAGGCTGCCTCCTGCATGTCCCACACTGGGGAATGAGCCCCCAGCCTGGGCATATACCCTGACCAGGAATCAAACTGTGACCTCCTGGTTCATAGGTTGACATCCACGCTGGCTGTCAAAGTATACTTCAATAACATTTCCCTAAAAGTGTCATGTTTGTTTGCAGAGACACTAGAAATTAATCTCCACTACTGCAAAAAAATTAGAAAATTCCCTAATCTGATACACTTCTAACATGGGGAAAAGCACATTACAGATCCTTCAAGATATTTAAAAACGTCTATATGTTGCAAAGAATATATTGATGTAAATAAAAAAGTGAATGTTCTTTTAAAAATAACAATATCAATGAATTTAAGGTTTACCTCATTATAGAGATGTATTTACTTTATATGAGATATAGATTTATTACTGACTAGTGGCCCGGTGCACAATATTTGTGCATAGAGTGGGGTTCCCTCAGCCCAGCCTACACCCTCTCCAATCGGGGACCCCTTCCTGGATGTCTGACTGCTGGTTTAGGCATATCCCTCTCGCAATCTGGGACTGCTGGCTCTTAACTGCTCACCTGCCTGCCTTTCTGATCACCCTTAACCACCTCTGCCTGCCTGATCACTCCTAACCACCTCTGCCTGCCTGTCTGATTGCCCCTAACTGCTCCCCTGCTGGCCTGATTGCCCCTAACTGCCTCTTCCTGGCTCCACACCTGGAACCTGGGCTTCCCTCCCTCTGGCCAGCCACAGGCACCCAGGACCCAGGCCAACTTCACCCAGGCCAGCCGTAGACACGGGATCGCGGGCGGGTGGCTTCGCCTAGGCTGCAGCTGCAGGCACCAGGGACCACAGGGTGTGTGGCTTGTCCCTTTCTTGGGCCAGAGGGACAGGCGCAGCTGCTGGAACCTGGGACCGTGGTGCGAGTGGCTTATCCCTCTCCCAGGCCGCAGCCTGGCTGGGCCCCATTCCTCTCTACCAGTGTTGAGTGTCTGAGCCATTATGGTGTGATGGCATGAGGGTGTGATGACTATTTGCATATAGCTCTTTATTATATAGAATTTTAACTTGTCACGGTTTGTCTTCAAGTGGATATTATACCACTTCACACCTTGTATAGAAACTTCACTGTAACAAAATTTCATCTTTCCCGGGCAATCTTTGTGTTATTGGTGTCATGTATTTTACTTTCACAGATGTTATAAAACTGACATTACATTATTATTTTTTGAAATAGTTAATTATCTTTAAATATATTTAAATAATAAGAAACTTCTATTATATTTTTTCCTATGCATTTACTTTCTTTGGTGTTTTCCATTTCTTGGCATAGATCAGTGATGGCCAACCTATGACACGTGTGTCAGGGGTGACACGCGAACTCGTTTTATTTGGTTGATTTTTCTTTGTTAAATGGCATTTAAATATATAAAATAAATATCAAAAATATACATTTTTGTTTAACTATGGTTGCAAATACCAAAATATTTCTATATGTGACACGGCACCAAAGTTAAGTTAGGGTTTTTCAAAATGCCGACACACCGAGCTCAAAAGTTTCGCCATCACTGGCATAGATCATTCTTTCTATGTGGAAAAATTTTATTTCTGCTTGCAGGACTTCTTTTAATATTTCTTACACTACAAATCTGCTGGTGATAAAAAAAAATTCAACCTTTTATATATGAAAAATATATTTTAACTATTTTTAAAAATATTTTCACTCAGTCTAGAATTATAAATTGAAAGGATTTTCCCCTCTTGTGAATACTTTAATGATGTTGCTCTACTATCTTCTCCCTTACACTGTTTCTGATGAGAAATCTTTTGTAATCCTTATGTTTATTCCTGTGTATAGTGTGTCTCTTTTCTTCTGACTACTTAAAAGATTTTTCTTTTCATCATTGGTGTTGAGCAATGTGATTTTTTAAAAATATATTTTATTGATTTCTTTTTACAGAAGAAAGGGAGAGGGATAGAGAGTTAGAAACATTGATGAGAGAGAAACATCAATCAGCTGCCTCCTGCACACCTCCTACTGGGGATGTTCCTGCAACCAAGTTACATGTCCTTGACCAGAATAGAACCTGGGAACTTTCAGTCCGCAGGTTGATGCTCTATCCACTGAGCCAAACCGGTTAGGGCAAGCAATGTGATTTTTCTTTGTCTTGATGTAGCTTTCTTTATGTTCTGTGCTTGCTATTCACTGAACTTCTTTGATCTGTGGGTTTATATTTTTTACTATATTTTGCCAAATTTGGAAATTTTTGAATCATTCTTTTTTCAGATGATTATATATATAGAAGTTCGGGTCTCTAGAGGGGGCTGGGGAGGAAGAGGAGTGAACCAAACCATAGGGTCAGGACCTCAGCAGGCAATTGAGTGTGGGGACAGCCAGCAGGGACATCCTGCAGTGGCCAGTTTGTGACCAGCTGCCTGAGACTGTCTCGTTCCTGGGCTCGGGGGGTTTCACGCATCTGATCCATGCTTCCCAGCAGTGTGGTGCCCGTCGGGGCTCTCCATAACTTATGGGGAAGGCACGGCCTGGGGAGTTGGAGCCTGGATCCTGTGCAGTAACCAGATCCGGGCATTGGGAATGCGGCCAGTTCTCTGCAACCTGAGCCGCCCCACTGTTGCATCGCCGGAGCAGTCATGGTGCCTTCTTCCTCCACAGTCTCCTAAACTTGCAGCAATGGAGGTGGGTTGTCATAGCTTTGGGTGAACAGACATGGAAGACCCCTAGGTGATAGTAGGCATGAGGTGCTGGCTGGGGAGGCAGTCGTGTGGGTTTTTGTGAAGTGCTCACTGTCACAGCTTTGGAAGCCTCTTTCTTAGCTCTCAGAGAGCTCAGTGGTGAGGAAAGACAGGTCTTGTTCTGTGTTGCAGTTTCCATGGGAAAACTCGCCATTGGGGGTGTTAGAGGGGTTGGCCGGGAGCACCTGTGGCAGAGAGACACCCTTCTCCAGTAACCTCTTCACAGACGGACTCATTGCCGGATGCCCAGGAACTGCTCGGCAGATCCCTGCTGTTCCACAGAGTTCTCTGAGCAGCCATCCATCTTCTGCGGGAAGAAAGGTGTGTGCTTGTGCACAGTCACTGTCCGGCCCTGGGCAGTCAGGGGCAACCCGGCCTGGATGTGTTCTCCCACTGGGTTCGCAGAGGTTGGACAATCGTTGTCCAGAATTCCCTTGTTTAACAAATAAAGTTAAGTTCCCAGTGAGGCCCCTGGTTAGAAAGGGAGGGAGTTGGGGAGAGGAGGAGGAGCCGAGCTGCTTCTTCCCCACCTGCCAGAAGGTGTGGAGCCCAAGGCATGACCTCCAGTCTGCTCAACTGCCCCGGGAGGCTGCTTCTGGAGAGACTGTGAAGGCTGGGCTCTGCTCCTGTGTCTTGGTGTGTCTAAAAACCAGGAGGCAGAGTCGTGCTCTCACCTAGGCCTCCAGGCAGTGGCCTCCTGGTTCTCGGCAGAGACAGTGGCCCTGGGGTGTGACTGCCCCTCAGTGGTTGGAAGCATGTGTAGGAGCTGCCAGCAGGCAAACCATCAAACTCGTTGCTCAGGCAACGACGCTAGTGTCCCACTTGGTGGCTATGGGCGCTGCCATCCTTGTCGTGGAGTGATGGTTAATTTGCATATCCCCTCTTTATTAGATAGGATAATTTTCTAAAGTATCCAAATTGATACCAACTAGATGAACCTATACTAGATTGAAAACCATGGTGCACTTCCATAAGTGTTTCCTTTTTTATGTACCTCACAAGGTTAACCATCTATAAAATTAATCAGTGATAAAATAT